GTGCACACCGACAAGAGTCTGAACCTTCCTGTTCAATCTTTGGACTTAAGTGAACTTTGCAATGAGTTTCCGCATCTTCAAGGGCTACCAGTACAAAGCTACGCCGATGCTTTCCCTACAATTTTGATTGGTTTGGATAACTCGTTCGTGATGGCAACACGGAAAAGCAGAGAAGGAGTCAGAGGAAGCCCAATGGCTGCAAAAACCAGGCTAGGTTGGATGGTATACGGGAGCACATCCGCTGGAGAAGAACGATCAATCCATCAGCTCTTCCATATTTCCGTTCGTTCATCCAATCAAGAGCTCCATGATCTAGTGAAGAATTTTTTTGCGTTGGAAAGTGTGGGAGCTGTGTCTTCAACGATGAAGAGCGACGACGATCGACGTGCCAGGAAAATTCTCAACAGCACAACTGTAAGAACATCGTCAGGAAAGTTCCAAACACACAGCTTACTGTGCTGTGGAAACACGATAACGTAGAGTTCCCGAACAGCAGACCTATGGCGGAAAAGAGATTCCGCTGTCTCGAACGTCGTCTAGCATCGAAGCCCGAATTATATCAAAATGTGAAGACCCAGATCATCGAGGACCAAGCCAAAGGGTACATTCATAAGGTGAGCAAAGAGGAGTTAGCCAGTTTCGATCCCACACGGACCTGGTTCCTACCGTTGAACGTCGTTACGAATCCGAGAAAGCCAAACAAAGTACGATTAGTATGGGATGCGGCAACTAAAGTCCAGGGACAATCGTTGAATTCTGCTCTTCTCGCTGGCCCGGATTTTCTCATATCGCTCACAGCAGTTTTGAGTTCATTTCACCAGTTCGAGGTGGCCGTCAGCGCAGATATCTGCGAGATGTTTCACCAGTTTCTCATCCGACCAGAAGACCGTTGTTCAGTTGTTCTTGTGGCGGGACGATCCATCTAAGCCTTTCGATGTGTTCGTGATGGACGTAGCCACATTCGGCTCAACATGTTCGCCTTCTGCAGCACAGTTTATTAAAAATCAGAATGCTGAGGAATTTTCCGAACAGTTTCCACGAGCGGCGGAAGCGATCACGAATCATCATTATGTGGATGATTTCCTGTGTAGCGTACACACAGAGCAGGAAGCTGTTGATCTGGCAGAGCAGGTAAAGCTGGTACACTCGAAGGCAGGTTTCAACATTAGAAATTGGCTGTCAAACTCGTGTGAGGTTCTAATACGGGTCGGGGAACAGCAAGCGGAGTCGCAGAAAAAACTTCTCGTCGACAGGTCGGCTGCCTACGAACGCATTCTTGGCATGATCTGGAAGCCAGAACCGGATGTCTTCGTCTTTCAAGGTGTGTTTAGGGATGAAATACAAGCTTTTTTACTGGATGACACGGTTCCGACGAAAAGAGAAGTTTTGCGGGACGCATCTGAAGAAGCATTTACGGCTGTTGCATATTTTCGAATCGTCGAAGGATCCAGAGTTCGTTGCTCCCTAGTGTCGGTGAAAACGAAGGTTTGAAACTCTTGTCTATTTCGAGACTAGAACTATCAGCAGCCGTTCTTGGTGCAAGGTTGTCAAAGTCCGTAATTGAGAACCATACAATTCCAATCAACCGAAAAGTGTTCTGGAGTGATTCTCGCACCTTTCTTTCCTGCACTGAGATAATTATCCCTACAAATTTCATAAACTACATCGTATGAATGCATGCAAATACAAGCCTGAATCAATTTCATAATTATCTTATGTTTTCATACTCCATCTATAGTATTCATAATTTGATACAACAAAAGGTATACGAAAAACATAAAAATTTCATAAACACGTCGTATAAATTATTTTGGCAAAAAATCATACGATGATCGTGTGTAATTTATTTAGACAGTGCAAATCAAAACAACAACAAAACACAAGATGGCGGATCCAGCTTCAAGACGTGACGCAAGGCTCCATAAACCTGTAAGTAAATTTAATTCGTATTGTTTCTTTGTAGTTTACAACTTTATTTACATTTGTAGACAGTTAAGCATGCTGCTGCTGCTTCTGCTTTATCGATTTCAACAGCACGTCGGAAGAGACAACCGGATCGGGTAAGTGTCATATTTATTTTTTGATTTTGTTTTCATAATTTAATACAACAGTAACATTTTTTTGAACAGGAATCGGACACGAGTACAATTATGTGCGAATCACAGTGAACGTTTCCGAGGGTTCAACAGATTCACCAGCCAACACAGCTGCCTCAACAGACAGAGTAGCTGCAGCGGCTGATCGAGTAACATCCCCGACTGCGACGAAGATTAATGCAACGACAAATTTGAAGGGTTTCGAGGAACTTCCCCCAGTTTCCGCAGTTGTACCTGCCAATCTAAAACCCACACGGATTGCATCAGAACTAATATAATAAATATAATAAATAATTGCTTGGTTTAACGGCTTTCTCAGTCTTAATCTCACTCTAAAGACTACGATTTAATCTACCCGACGCTTCGGTTTTAGTTCATGATCCATGGCCGAAACGTCGGGCAGATTAAATCGTTGTCGTTAGCGTGAGATTAAGACTTAGAAAGCCGTTAAACTAAGCAAATCACTCAAGTACTAGTCGTCACCATCACTAATATAATAATTAATCAACTCAAACTATATTTTTTCATTCATATCCTTTATGGGTTTCATACGAAATGACAAATGAAATTTTTCGTAATATTCAATGATAGCTATCGTTCGTTTATATTGAGATTCATAGTTATATGCATGAAAAATCATACGATGGCTGATTAACAAAAAACTGACAGTTCTTCAAGGTTCGGTCGTTAAAATTCAACATAAAATCTTGTCGCAAAAAATCATACGATGTTTCTATGAAATTCGTTTGATTAATAATCTCAGTGTGGTTGAAATCTGATCCTAGAAAGTATCGACAATTCGTTGCTTTCAGGCTGACGGATATCCACGATTTAACGTAGGTCGACGAGTGGCGTTGGGTGCCAACCCGTTTGAACATTGCCGACGAGGCTTTAAAGTGGGGCAAAGGTCCAAATATCGCCTCCGACAGTCGCTGGTTCCATGCGCCATCGTTCCTCTATCAACACCCGGATCTATGGCCCCAGCAAACAACGAAGGAGGTGGAAACAGAGGAAGAACTTCGTCCGGTACACCTCCATCAGAATGTCGTCGGAAGTCAGCTGCTGTAGTTTGAAAGGTTCTCGAAATGGGAGCGCCTGGTCCGAGCGGTAGCCTACGTACGCAGGTTCGTTGACATCCTTCGTTGCAGAATCAAGAAGCTAGCACCAGGTAAAACAGAGTTCCTGAATCCGGACGAAATACTCAATGCGGAGTCAACCATTTTCAAGCTGATTCGGCTAGAGACCTTTGGAGATGAGCTCGTTATCCTCATGAGGAATCGAGGACTTTCCGCTGGAGAACAAATGAAGATCGAGAAAACTAGCAAAATCTCCAAACTTTCTCCCTTCCTGGACGAACAGGATGTCATGCGGATGGATGGCAGAATTGCAAATGCTCAGCAGGTATCGTTTGACTTCAAGTTTCCCGTGATTCTGCCCAAAAGACACGGTGGAACTAAACTCCTCGTCGATTGGTACCATCGGCAGTACAAACACTGCAATGCTGAAATAGCGGTGAACGAGATGCGTCAAAGGTTTCACGTATCGGAGATGAGGGTTGCCTTCAAGCTAGTCAGAAAGCAGTGCCAGTGGTGCAACATCTACAAGGCGACTCCGGAGATTCCACGAATGGCTCCCCTGCCTCAAGCTAGGACGGTGTCGCACGTTCGGCCATTCACCTATGTCGGCGTGGACTACTTCGGGTCAATGCAGTTAAGCAGGGACGCAGCGATGTTAAGCGTTGGGTTGCATTATTCACCTGCTTGACCATACGTTCAGTGCATCTGGAGGTGGTGCACAACCTAACGACGGAATCCTGCAAGATGGCGATTAGGCGGTTCATCGCACGGAGGGGGGTCCCACGGGAGATATTCAGTGATCGGGGAACACAATTCGTGGGTGCTAGTCGTGACCTGAAGAGGGAACTTCAGTACATCAACAGCAACCTTACGGGTACGTTCACCAACACAGATACACAGTGGCGTTTCAATCCACCCTCCACGCCACACATGGGGGGTCATGGGAACGCATGGTTCGGTCGGTTAAAAGTGCGCTGGCATCTTTGACTACCGGTGTCAAGCCGGACGATGAAACCCTTCGTACGTACCTGATCGAGGCTGAATCTCACGGCCTCTCACATACCTGCCAATCGATTCCGAGGAACAAGAAGCACTTACCCCGAACTGCTTCTTAATGCTGAGCACTAACGGAGTTAATCAGCCAGTTAGGGAGCCGATCGACGAGAGGGCAGTGGCACGCTGTAACTGGGACCTGTGCAAACCAAGGTTGCAAATACTCATTTTAGCTTAAACAATGTTTTTCTAAATTATGAAATAATTAGATGCCATGATCAAATTTTGAATTGGTAGGATACAAGAAGAGGTTGCAAAGAATGTGTTTGACATATTAAACCTGTTTATTTCACTTCATAAGAGTCACAATCAGCGATTTTTCACAAACTCACTCACTCACTCACTCACTCACTCAGCGATAAGAAAATCGATGATTGTGACTCATAGAAAGCAAAATTTACAGGTTTCATGTTTCAAACGCATACTTTGTAACCTCTTCTTGTAAGTTACAAGTTAAACATGCCATCATACCATCTTTTTGTTTTATTATTCCGAAAAACATTATTTTAGCTGAAATGAGTATTTGCAACCTTGGTGCAAACAACTACTGGACAGGTTCTGGGGTCGATGGATCAAGGAGTAGCTTCCTACGATCACTAAGCGTACGAAGTGGTTCGTGGATGGAAGACCCGTTCAAGTTGGTGATCTGGTAGTTGTGGTGGAAGACCGGATCCGGAATGGTTGGCTGAGAGTGTAGGATCTAAGCAACCATTGGTTTTGTAACAACCTTAAAGCATGAGAATAAATATACATTATCAGTTGTACCTCGGACCGAACCAGACGTTTCTACATTTTGGCGACGAGCGATAAAAGTTACCCACGGATTTGGACACTCCACCCCAGAAAATTTTACTCGGACCCCCGTGAGATGGCTTGGCCTATGGTGAGTACTTGTGATAAAGCAGATTTTCGAGAGAGTTTGCAGTGGAAAATTCTAATGTACCAAACCTGAAATCATTTCCGTGGATAGAAAATTCTTAGGGATGATTTTACCTGAGAAAATTGAATTTCAATTTCTCCCGTAAACCCGGAATTTAACATCCTAAGAAATAGAGGCAGTTCAGGGTATTTTTTTTTTCGGAATGAAAATCCTAATCGCTTAGGGATGATTCTCACTAAAACAATTTTGTTGATGACGTGAGACCCGGTGATTCTGGAAAATTCTAAACAAAATACGCGGAACCCATAGCAACGGGATGAAGTACGCAGTGAAATATGTAAAAAGTATCATTATGTGGAACCCAATGTTTCATGGGATGCAGTACGCAGAAATTCCTAATGTGAAAGAAAGCGGAACCTTTCGTTTGGAATGAAGTACGCAGGAAAATATGAGATATTTTAAGCGGAATCCGACGTTTAAGGATGTAGTACGCAGTAAATCTGAACTTAGAGAATGTTAAATGCGGAACCCAACATTTGGGATGAAGTACGCAGAGTGATACTGTGTATATATATTTCAGTGCGGAACCTGAGTTTTGTGTAGTACGCAGATCACATGAATTTTGATAAAAATACGTCACAGACGTAGTGTAGCTCGTAAAGTACCTTAAAATGCGTGTTTTCTAGGTAAACCAGTTGATCCCTCCGTTTGCCGAAGATGCCGACGGACCAGTGTCTGCCCGCTGGGAGAAGTGGCGTGAACATTTTGAAGCATACCTAGCATGGAAGGACGTTGACAATCAGGAGGAAAAATTCAAATCCCTGATGATGTTCGGTGGACCAGACATCCGGAAAGTGGTCAAGCAAGTTCATGTTGACGAATCACACGCTATGGAGAACCGGTACCACATTGCCATGTCAATGTTGGACGATTACTTTGTACCGAGACTCTCGAAAACGTTCGAACGTCAGAAGTTCCGCGAGATGAAACCAGCTGTAGGTGAAAAGTTTGACACTTTTTTCATCAGACTGAAAAAGCAGGCAGCCTACTGTGATTTTGGAGATCAGCTGGAAAGCATGGTAGCTGACCAAATTATTACATCTACAACGGATGTGAGTCTGAAGAGGAAGTGCCTGGAAAAAGACTTTAACTTCAAGGAGATTGTAGCGATCGGTCGTACCCGCGAGTCTGTTCAAATACAGATGAGCGATTTGGACAATCGGAACGGAAACTTACAAAAAGTCAGCGCTGTCGAAACGGAGGCCAATGAAGAGTCAATTTTGAAGGTACGCTCCAAACTCGGAGGACCAAGGCGGTTCAGATGTTTCCGATGCAATGGCAGACATGATTCGAAAGATCCATCGTGTCCAGCCAAATCACTCGAATGCAGAAGTTGTGGTCAAGTGGGACACTTTTCCCGCTGCTGTTTTCTAAAAAGGAAGAAGACCAACGGACAACCGTCCCAGTACAATCGTTTCGGAGCTTCCCGTAAACAAAAGCGATTCGTACGAGAAGTATCTGTAGATGGAACCGAGCGCAACTCAGATGTAGTTGATCTTTTCCATCTAGGAGCAGGAAAGAAGCTGGTTCCAGTATCTGTTGGAGGAGTTTGTTTGAAGTTCGTGATTGACACAGGAGCAGACGAAGACGTTTTAAGCGAAGCGGATTGGGCTACGTTGAAACGCGTTGGGTTTGAAACATACTCTATCAGGAGAGGAAGCAACAAAGTATTCAATGCTTATGGGATAAATACACCGTTGAAAGTGCTTGGTGAAGTCGACGCAGAAGCTATGATCGACGGTCGGAGTACCGACACTACGTTCTACGTGATCCAGAATGGGAAATGCTCGCTTCTCTCAGGTGACACAGCAGTCAAACTTGGATTGGTGAAATTTTTGCAAGCAGTGAATGATGAATCGTTCCCACATATGGATGGTAAGCAATAATTTATACAGGTAAATTTAAATAAATTTATTCTAAACTTCACATGTGTACAGGTATTGTTGCTAATATCAAAATCGATTAAACTGTAACTCCAGTCCGCCAAAGCCTTCGTCGCATACCATTTCCTCTTGAAGAATTGACCTTGAAAAAACTTCGGTAGCTAGAGAAGCAGGACATCATTGAACGTGTCAATGAAGCTTCTGAATGGGTCTCTCCAATGTTAGTAAAGCGTAAAAGCTTCGATGAGGTCAGACTTATTGTAGATCTCCGGGAGGCTAACAAAGCAATAGTTAGAGAAGTCCATCCCCTTCCAACACTCGAGCAAATAACGAAGAAAATCGGAGGAAATCAAATTTTCACTAAACTTGACATTCGACAAGCTTTCCATCAAGTTCTTCTTCGAGAAGATTGTCGATACATCACCACCTTCATTTCCCCCCTTGGTTTATTCCGTTATAAAAGGCTCATGTTTGGACTTTCTGCTGCTCCTGAGTTGTTTCAAAAAGTTATGGAGACGATTTTTGCTGATCTTCCATGGCTTATTATTTTCATCGATGACATTATGATCCCCGCTAGAAACGAATCTGAGCTTCGTGAAAGAACTTTGATGGTGTATAACAGATTGAAGCAGTACAAGATACTACTGAATGCTGACAAAGTTATCACAGGCGCTAGGGAAATAGACTTCTTGGGTTATCACATTTCTACACAAGGAATTTCAATTTCTCAAGAAAAACTGGAAGCTATCGAAAAATTACAAGTCCCCAAGTTCGCAGAAGCAGTTCGAAGTCTGCTTGGTTTGGTTAATTTCGTTCATCGACATGTTCCAAATATGGCAACCATTACACACCCCCTAAATCAGCTCACAAGGAAAGGCATAAACTTCGAATGGAAACCAGTACACCAACAAGCATTCGAGCAAATTAAGATGATTCTACTTAACAAAAATACCCTTGGATTTTATAATGTTGACGATGAAACTTATGTTATTGCCGATGGGAGTCCTGTTGGCCTTGGTGCTGTTTTAGTACAGAAAGGGAAAGATAATCGCAATCGTGTGATCTGTTATGCGTCTAAAACTCTCACTCCGACAGAACAGAAGTATGCGCAGACTGAGCGAGAAGCTTTAGCATTAGTATGGGCTTGTGAAAAGTTTCACTATTATCTTTACGGGAAGTTTTTCCATCTGGTTACGGACCATAAGCCGTTAGTCGTGATTTTTGGAGATCGTCTGAAGCCGTCACCAAGGATTGAACGATGGAAGTTGCGCCTGATGTCCTACGATTTCAAAGTAATGTACCATCCAGGAAAGAATAACATCGCTGACCCGCTGTCCCGACTCTGCCAATCTGTACCAGATAATGGACCTAGCTTTGATGAAGAATCAGAAAGAATCGTACGAATGATAGCTAGTGATGCTTGCCCGTTGGCAATAACCCTTCAGGAAATTGTAACTGCCACAAACTCAGATGAAGAACTGCAAGAACTGATTAAATGGTTACCGTACCCTTCTCGACGTTGGCCTAGAACATTAATGCGTTATGCAAAGATGTCGGGATGCTTCACCAGTGATGGACATTTATTGATGAAAGATCAAAGAATTGTAATTCCTCGAATCCTACAAACCCAAATTTTGAAGCTTGCACACGAACCTCACCTTGGAATTGCAGCAATGAAACGTCGACTACGATCTAAAGTATGGTGGACTAGGATGGACTCTATGGTAGAGAAATTCGTCCAATCTTGCACAGGATGTACGCTTGTATCAGAACCTGATACACTTCCTATAACAAGAACCGAGATGCCTAACGGACCGTGGAAGAAAATAGCGGTGGATTTCATGGAAATTCCTGGCGGTTACCATTTGCTTGTAGCGACAGACTACTACTCCCGGTACGTTGAAGTTGCTATACTTACTTCAATGACAGCAAAAGTAACAGTCACTAAAATGAGGGAAATTTTTGCAAGGTTCGGCTATCCCATTGAAGTTGTTTGCGATAATGGTCAGCCATTTTCTTCAGCAGAATTCTTGAATTTTTGTCAGACAAATGCAATCTCAATCAAGCATACAGTTCCTTATGCAGCTTTTCAAAATGGATTGGTCGAGAGGCAAAACAGAACTTTATTGAAGACCTTGAAAATAAGCTGTACTATGGGACGTAATTGGCGGTATGATCTACAAGATTTTCTTCACTCTTACCGAGCAACACCTCACAGCATAACAAAGTTTTCACCGTCGGAATTGATGTTTGGGTGGAACATTCGGGATAAAATACCAGGAAACTCAAGACCAGTCAATGAAACTGAAGCAAGAGAAAACGATAGGAAGGCGAAAGAAAAAGGAAGAATGTATGCGGATTCAAAAAGGAGAGCTAAGCAATGCAATATCGATGTTGGAGATTATGTGATTGTGAAAAATTTATTCAAGAAAAATAAGCTAACAATCACTTTCAACCCCGAACCTCATCTTGTGATACAACGCGACGGATCACGGCTCCACTTGAAGAACATTAAAAGCAGTGTGATCTCCAATTGACACGTGAACCACACCAAACGAATCCTAAATGCGAATCCCATGATGAAACAGGAGAATGACGCAGATAATCATAAAACCTCTGAGGGCACACAAGAAGAAGATGACATGGGACCAGCCATTCCAACTGCTGCTGAACGTACTACGAATCCAACGGAACAACCCTCTACCAGCCAAACTACTACGGAACCTCAGATGGTCTCACGATGCGATGGTCGAAAACACCCTTTTGAAACTAGCCGAGCTACCAGCAAGCGCTCGAAACATGTACCTAAATACTTAGCAGATTACAAACTTTGAATATATTAAATTTTTAAAATATTAAACGTAAGGAGGGAATGTAGGATCTAAGCAACCATTGGTTTTGTAACAACCTTAAAGCATGAGAATAAATATACATTATCAGTTGTACCTCGGACCGAACCAGACGTTTCTACAGAGAGTGACGGCCGGGTACGGAATGCAGAGGTATTGACAACCAGTGCAGGAGTGCTGGTTCGTTCAGTAGCAAAGTTAGCAGTTCTGGAAGTTGGTGGTACCGCTGAAGTAAACATCGAGCAATGCGGGTCGGGGAATGTTCCGAACGACGAGAAACCAGCACCCCGGTGCGCCAGGGTTACTCGATCTACACGCAGCAGGATGAACTATGCATAAGAACACTAATATATACGCATTGAATTGTCAACGAATTGAATAGTTCCTAAATACCTACACACGACAAGTAAATCCACCATTAAAAGCTAGAAAAAAGAACAAGCTTTACTTAAAATTTATAATTATTCTAGTTTAAAATTGTTGGACAGAGAACAAATGTAAGTGAACACATAAACACACACATTTAACAAACTCTTATAATCCTAATTAAATATATTGCAGCTAAACAGCTGACTCATGCACATTGCATAAAAACGAGTCGTGCTGTACCAGTCCGAAATCCAGTTTCTGTCCCAACAACTATGTTTTGACTTCGTTAAGCTTTTAAATCGTATCCCATGAATCAGAAAAAAAACACCTTTTTTTTCCTTTGGTTTGTTTTTTCCGTCGATCTTGTTTTCCGTGCTGAGCACCAATGCTACCGACGCACACTGGGGACAAAATCGAAACAATGTGTTAAAATTCAATAACTTCGGTGCTCGCTAGAACAAGAGACTAAAAAATAGTCATTCTTATAGAAAAAAGTCTCAGAAATCGATTGGAGTGGGTTTCATCTTGAACACGATAGGGTAAGTTGGGGTTTTTCACAGTTTTGCCCTAAAATCTCCTATTTTGCATGATTTGAATGCTGTATCTCAAGATACCGATGATATAGACGGATGATTTCTTCGGCAAAGTTGATCAAGAGGTCAAGGACTGTTGGATGATGGACAGAACAATTCGGAATTCTTCCGCTAGGCGGCGCTAGTGAGCATTCGAAGTGTATATGTTTGTGCTGCTGTATCTCAAGATCCTGACTATTTAGACGGATGATTTCTTCGGCAAAGTTGATCAGGAGATCAAGGACTATTGAATGGTGGACATAACAATTCGGAATTCTTCCGCTAGGCGGCGCTAGTGAGCATTCGAAGTGTATATGTTTGTGCTGCTGTATCTCAAGATTATGACAATTAAGACGGATGATTTCTTCGGCAAAGTTGATCAGGAGGTCAAGGACTGTTGGATGTTTTTTCGTAAAATTTAGAGTCGGTAGTTTTTGTTTAGGATTTTTATAAAATATTCATACAAATATCAAAGACAAATCTTCTTCTAATCGCGGTTGATGCTATTGATTATTTAGTAACATGAACAAAAACAGATTTCATCAGTAGTATGTCTTGCTTTACATTAACGCATTTCCAAGCTTTTACTAATTTTCATTCAAGTTCAATTTAAATTGGTTTGGAATCCGTTGTTTTTTGAAAATTTAGCACTTCGCTCAACAGGTACAATTTTTCCGAAATGTTAATTTTTTTAATGTTCGACGGTATCGTATTAAAAACGTTTCTTCGTTAATTTATGCTGCTTTCTAAAATCAAGCACGCCCAGGGATTCTTACCTCAAATATGCTTTCAAACCACTCTGCATTCTTCTTAAAGAACCGATCCTTACTGTGGGTTTAGTGACCATCGCCGATTAAATTGACCAATCCAGTTTTTAACACCTTGCGCAAGAGCCGCAGGTGCTTTCGACAGTGCCCTAGACACAAAGTCAAGTAAACGGTTTTTATCTCGACCAGACGCAAAATATTCCTCAACGATATTTTTATTTGACTGCACTTTGCTTAATGAAATTCAGAAAATGACTGGCAACCTTGCCATATAGAAGTGTGAGATGAAGTTGCGCTGTAGAAATTAATAAGTTTTTTGTTTAATATAAACGCGCTTAGAAATCGCGAAATTGTGTTGAAAACAGTGGCCTGGTTGTGAAGATTGTAAATCCAGTGCAGTTCATTGAATTCATTACGAATAAACCTGGAAAAAGTGAAGAGAAAAGTTAGATTTTGAAAATGGCGTATGAAGTGGTCTGCTGCAAAAATTTTCGTAACGCCAGGCTTTAAAGAATGGAGGAGAGAC